CTCAAAACAAAAAGTCAGAGTCAGGTCTTCCCTCAGTGTGACATCATACCTAAAGGTGAGCACTGAGATCAGGTTTAAAAAAAATTTTTTTTTTAATGTTTATTTACTTTTGAGAGAGAGACAGAGTACAAGCGGGAGAGGGGCAGAGAGAGAGAGAGAGATACGCAGAATCGGAAAGGGGGGGGAGAGAGAGAGAGAGACAGAGGGAGGGAGGGATACACAGAATCGGATGCAGGATCCAGGCACTGAGCTGTCAGCACAGAGCCCAACACGGGGCTCGAACTCACGAACCCTGAGATCATGACCTGAGCCAAAGTAGGATGCTTATCCAACTGAGCCATCCAAGGTCCCCGAGGTCAGTTTTTTTAAAAAGTCAACTTTGTGACTCTTCCATTTTCTCAGCCTTTCTTTCCAGACCTCCCCACAATCACCACCAATCTCCAAATACCCTTCTTATTCAAAGGCAGCCAACTCATTCTTCATTACCAAGGGCTAATGATTAGCCCTTTCAATCTCTTTCTTCTTCCTGGTTGCATCAGATAACTCACTGCTTGTTAGTAAGGTATAAATGGGTAATAAATGGATAAAAGAAGCTAAAAAATGAGTCAGTGGTCTGGTAAGGGAGGTGGACACCTTACCTGTGGATTTCAATTTTTGATGTTTTGTCACTTTCCCTGCCTCCCCCCACAACATACAACTATCTCAAGAAAGTCTTCTCCGACTCAGCAAAGTGAGAACTTACATCTCATTCAATGCAGATGATTTATTTAAACAAATACATACACGTGCCTTGGCTGTGTCGGTGAGTTCTTTCCCAGGAATCTCAGAGGCTAAAAAAGCACAGCCTCCTTCGCTGTGTGCTCACTCTAAACTCCAGTACTCGGCCAAGTGTTCACTTAACTATGCCACCTGATAACACTGCTCTGGAAGTTCAAGTTAATTCTGGTCACCAAGAAGACATCTCTTAAAAACACGTTTTAACTACATTACATATTAATGGTATTCAATACAATTTTGATTTTCCCCAGTGCTGGCTTGGCAAGTTTGGATATCTGAATGAATGTCAGACCAAATCCAGACTAGAATGACATAGCAATGGCATTCATGTTCTTAGCTGCCTTCCCGCTGTCATACTGCCCCCTTTTCCCCATCTTGCCCCCATGCCATAATTCAAGGAACATCAGTTGGCTACACAAAGCTAATGCAAAAGAACAGAACTAACATTTGCCAATCCAGTCAACGTGACCTAATCCCCATAACAACTCTATGAGATAGACACTAACATTATCCCATTTTTATCGTGAGAAAACTGATGTTCAGTAAGGTTAAGAGGCAGAGAAGTGACTTTTAAAGACTTACCCATGTAGCCCATTTTTTCTACTAGACCGCACTCCTCCTGACCACACAATACAGAGGTTCTCTCTACGTAGAAACATTACTTAACATGGGACTTTGCAGTCAAAATATTAGACCCGAGTTCAAATGCCAGCTCCATCACGAGTTGCAGGACACTGAGCTAGTGACTCATTTTCTCTGAGCCTCCAGTTTACTCTTCTCTAAGATGGTGATGGTAGCCACACCATAAGAACTATCGTTAGCATTAAATGAGACATCTACCAATTGCTAATTCAGAGAATGGCACATAAAAACATGAGCTCCCACACTACTGGCCATATAACCTAGACAAGTCACTTAAACTAACAAGCCTGTTAAATGAAAAGGAAAAGAATATACTACAAAGATCACATGGTGGTGGTGAGAATGAAATGAGAGGTGTCAAAGCTCTTTGTAATCTGTAAAGCTCTAGAAAAATAAATGTGGTCCCCAACAGAGCTTACCACAACACCTACACAAAACAGATTTCAGGAAATGTTTTATAATGCTACATAAAAGAGACCCTTGTTAATGTTGACATGCCCCAAATCATCTCCTGAGAGCACTACTAATCCATGGGCAGTCTTCATCCCCAGGGAACAAGATGCTGAATCAATGCAAAAGAACTTGTTAAGAAACACCCAACTTCATTCTGCCACAGGGACCCTAGAGTTCTTCTCACCCTAAAGCAGTATTTAAGTTCCTCATGACAGAATAAACTAATAAGCCACATAGTGAGTAATCTGAACCTCACTTATGACTGGCTTTGATGTGCTTTTGTATTTTTGCTGAAATGCTTCTGTCTTATAGTCAGGACACTCAGAACACTTTAAAAGTACAACAGTACCGTGGAGTAGATCGAGTGATACTCATGAACTTCAGCAACCCCACTGTCCTCTTCCAAGCTGCCTCTCACATCCCACATCCCTGTAGACACAGGACTTCTTAGCCTGCAGTACACTGTCAACTGAAAACAAAACAGGCTCATCTCTAAGAACTGCTAGTTCGTACCTTCTCTAGTTGGGCTGGAATTAAGTATTTTCTTTTATTGAAGGACCTTCTCTTCCAGTTCCTGCTGGGTCAGAGTAAACAAATATCCATTTTATATCAACAGGATTAAACAGAGCGCTTACTATGTCAGCAACATGAGCCAACACGTGATGGTATCTTCCACTGGAAGTGGTACACACAGGTGGTGCTTCCCCACACTGTGAGCAGCAAGTTTTCTTCCAGGGATCTCTGAGCACTTTAGTTCTAACATGCTTAAACAATCCTCCATCTTTAGGAAAAAACCCAAGTCCATGCTCTTCCATGGGATGAACTTTCCATGGCATTCAATCAATAGGTAAACAGCTGCCCAGATTAAGTTTTCAATAACAGTGCAGAAGGCTCTTCTAACTGAATCCAGGGAGGAATTGCAAAGCATCCTCAAACGCTGGGTTTCAGAAAGCCAATATAAGCTTACTCATAAACATCTCTGCAAATGAAAGAGGGAATAAATGAAATCCAAAGATAGCCCTCCAACCTAATTTTAGTTTTTAGTTTGACTCCTCTCCCCAGAAAACAAACCCTTTTCAAGACTTGGCAAGCAGGCCACAAAGAAAAGTAAAAATTTCTGATATTCCCCAACCTATGACACAACCACTTTCTTGAAAGAGTGGGTAAACAACTAGTTTACAACAATGCTAATAAGCTAAAACTGAGCAGCAGAAAGCAAAACCCCAAAGGCAAAGATAATCTACAAAATTAAATAACCAAGAACTATTTCTATTTGAGGTCAAACATAAGAGAGTGACCTTTTAACAGTCCCACCCATAACACTCCAAGCCCTCTCAGATAAATGGTGGCACTTACTGGTCACAGAGCAGAAACTTATTATGTTTTACATTAGAGAAAATCATCCCTTTCAGAAAACCTTTCCTCTACTACTCACTAAAGATTTAGTTATTTAGTGACAGACTTCTCCTACCCTATAAAAACTAACTCAGGGCCTATTTTCAACATATGAGGAATAAACTATTTCACTTGAATCTTTTAAAATCTCTTCAGCCAAAAGAAGACGATGCAAAAAACTCCTACACTCTAGAAGGTACCTAAGCCAGGGTTTCAAAAATCTAGAAGTTTCTAAGAATGGAAATATTTTTTTATGTTTATTTATTCATTTTTAAGGAGAGAGAAAGAGAGAGAGACAATTCCAAGCAATCTCCACACTATCAGTGCAGAGCCCAACACAGGGCTCGAACCCACGAACCCAGAGATCATGACCTGAGCCAAAATCAGGAGTCGGACACTTAACTGACTGAGCCACCCAGGCACCCAAGACTGGGACGTTCTATATGCAATAGCCTTTAATACGGAACCCAAGACCTTTCTGAATCTGTCCTCGGCCATCACTAAAAAAACGAGTGGCATTTCTCTGGAACCTGAAAGGGAGCTCCCAATCTGAGGTAAGTATATTCTGCCAGCCTCAGTTACCCTCTGTTGTTTCAGCTGCCTGAGTGTTTCCTTGCTTTGCTGAATTGTAGCCAACACACCACATTCCCAAGAGAGGTAAGAGAATATACATTATTACAAGACTCCTCTAGAGGGAAAAACTTCCACCATACGAATTCAAGAGACTAAAGGAAAGGCAGCTGCTATTAAAATCAAAGGTCTAACTTATTTATTCAAAGAATATTAAGCACCTATCCTGTGCAAGGCTCTGTATATTCAGCCATGAGCAAAACAGGTATGGTTCCCATCCTCACAGAACAAAGTTTGGTGAGATAAAAAAGTAAACAAATGACACACAATTATAATTATACAAAGACTACGAATAGATAACCTTAAAGTTCCAATTTGCCCAGGATACACTGATCTACGCTTGTCTCAGTGTAAAACAAAAGCACTCTGCTTTCCTCTCAAAAATGTCCCAAGTTGGACTATAAATGCTATGTCACCTGAACTCTGGAAGATAAGGTACTGTAAAGAGAATGGGGGCAAATTCCTTTAGCCTCTGTGATCAGAGAAGACTTCTCAGAAGAGGTGCCATTTAACTAAGTCCTGAAGGATGAGGCTCCAGACACTCTGGAAGAAAGAGCATTCCAAATACAAGGACAGCAAAGACTACAAGGCATGGAGTGGTATTATTATTCCAATACGTGAACTTTGGCTGATAGAAGGGAAGAGTCAAAAAAAGTGATTTGAGGGTTCCCAGATATCAGTACGTACATCCAAGATTAAAATATCCTAAGCCTCTAATTTTATCAGACCTCAAAATTCAAACATAAAGACAAAAATGAAGCTTGAAGGCAGTAGTTTTCAATTTTTTGTATGTCATGAATTGAGAATCTCCAAAATACTCCATGTGTTCACCCAAAACCACATACACACATACACACAATTTCAGGAGGTTCACAGGCAACGCCCCTACCCAACCCCACAAACACCAAAAGTTCGCATTTTTTTAAGGCATGCAGGAATAAAAAGAAAACTTAAATTGGTGTTTCTTCAAAAAGGTTATCAGAACAAACCGTTAAGTCAATGAAAACGTGAAAAACAATGGACAACGTATGTACCACCAGGGGTCAATGAGTCTCAATTTTTCCCACCATTTTAAAGAGCCAGAACTGCCCTCAAGTCCTTACCTTACTAACATTGAGTGAAGCTAGGGGAGGAGGGGTTTCTGTTCGGTCATTAATTATTTCCACTTCTGAAACATACTGTAAGTTTATGAGCAAGATGTCTGCATGGTTGGGCTTTCCACTGGAAGAGGGACATTCTGGTGAGAAAATAAAGTTAAGGAAAATAGGGGCATGGAGAACACAACTCACACAAGGCTGGTGTAAAAGGTATGTCACGAGCAAGAGGGGGGCAGGGGAGCCTCACAAGAATCACAGCTCTCCTCAGGAAATCTCTGCCTGTCACCTTCCACCCGCTCAAAACCCCAGAACCAAAAGATCTCAAGCTTTTCAAAGCCAAGTATTATCTAAAATTGGAAGCCTCAAAAAGGGTTTCTGTCACCTCTCTACTGGTCGTATGGAGGCATAATGCTGTGTTAATGCTGTATATATAGTTTTTCTTGAACCTAAGGAATCACACAGGAGAGGCGGTACTTTCTGTTCCCGGTATAATAGTTCTTATATCTAGATACTGCTCTTTTCACTTTTTTAGATTTCAGATTTCCCATTCTGCAGAAGAGAAAACTACAGCACTGGGAATGAGGGTCACTCAAGGTGACCCAGCCAGTTAACCCATTTGTTTATGTATCCATTCATTCATTCACTCACCCATCCTCCGACTATTTATCAAGAGCGTATCACATGCCAATTAAAAGTAATTCCTCATTCCAAAACCCTTCCACTAATGTAAAAGGTCTCACAGGATCTAGGTCTGAGTTTTTATATTTTACAAAAAAAAAAAAAAAAGATGTTCAGAGGACATCTTCCTAAACTGGAAATCTACAACTAGTGGTTAAATAAATTAAAATACTTGCCACTCAAATGCAGCACTCAGTAGGAAACTTCCTTCTGAAAGATGCCATAAAGGATTACGCCTCAAAAAAAAAAAAAAAAAAAA